TTTTGTTCTCTAATCAAAAGAAGGATAATCCTATGGAAGTAGGGTATTATCCAGAGGTACCAGAAGGGAGAAAGAGAGGGGAGTTTGATGAATCAAGATTGATTCTAAATGGAAATTAATTGATGGAAAGCTTCATCCTTCTGGTAATATACTATGATATCGCACTGCTATGTATATGAACAAGGTGGAATTTGCAGCCCAGTCCTGCTTTCATTTTTTTAACAAAAAAATGACTGTACCTAACAACCCATACAATCAAACTGAGAGAAAATCATGAGAGTATCAGAAGTAAACTGAAAAAAAGGTGCTCATTCCTCACCTGCCCAAGGATTTTCAGACAGGTCATGGTTAGGTTTATCTTGCCATTGGGCTTGGTTTAACTAGCTTAGCTTTTTTGGCCTGTTCTGATATTGATTGCAAGCAGAGGTACCTGCAAGGGTGGTCGAACAAGGACAGATGGCATTTGCAATTATGTAATCAAAGCCCTGCCATTTTCTTAGGTGTGTAGCATGCATGGTGTGTATCTCATGGACATAAAATAGGCACAGGGATTCAAGCTTGTCATCTATTATTCCTGGGAGTATTCCTGTAGGAAAGGGAGGCTTATCTTTAGCGCTTCTTTTGCCTTTAAAACAAACCTGACTTTCTACAATTAGATGATAGTTGAAAATAATGGATAGCCAAGTTATTTTTAAAAAGCTCATGCTAAATATAGGCCTCCACTTGACAGAAGAATTATTTGTCTTACATGCTCGCTCTCTCTCTCTCTCTCTCTCTCTCACACACACACACACACACACACACACTCACAAAACACACAGACACAAAACAAGCATACAAATCAAAAATAGGAACATTACTGAAAATGTTTCTGCTGGGGACCCAAATGCATTTTTGTCATTTTTTTTTTTTAATCCAGCATCTACAGCTTGTTAGGCACTAGTTCCCTATGGATAGAATTTTGAGTTTTAACTGGCTTCTAGTAGACATTTTGAAACATAAATGCAACCTTTTCAAGGGAGCTACAAACAGAACATAAAAAAGAAATATTGAGCATATCAAAAGTAGAATCAATACAATGTGATTTAAAAGAAAAATAGCTTTTCCCAGCTAGGACATAACTGGAGATTGCAGCACTTTGTGAACAACATTGCTGCCTGCTAACTACCAATGATGCTCAGGCAAAATATATTAGTCACTAATAATGATAAATCACAAACACAGTCACGTGTCAAAATATTATTTCTTTGCAGGTAATTACTGGAGCATGGTACAGAATAATAAAATAATTGATGTTTTTCCCAGCAACAATAAACAAAATGCAAGATTAATTATAGCACTATTATAGTATCAATTCTGGGCTCAAAACTTTTAGTTTAGTGCTGTCTTTGGTAGGTCTGGTAGTACAGTGAAGCAAGTGTTTCATAATACAGCTTTCAAAGGAGTTCAAGATTTGGGGATTGCCAAACATATAATTAGGGATTACAGTTTGTTAAATTATTCTTAATAAGTGAAATTAAATAACGGATAAAGTGGGGATAAGTGTGATTTCTGTTGAACTACTAAATGAAACCAGATTCTTACAAAATACTTACTGGCAATATCTATGTGCCTTCAACTCAATTTTTGACTCATAGTGACTTCTTGAACTAGTCCCTGCAGGTTTCTCGGCAAGATTTTAGAAGCGGTTTGCCATTGCCTCCTTCCTAGGATTGAGAAAGACCGACTAGCCCAAAGTCATTCTGATGGTTTGATGTCTAAGACAGGACTAGAACTCATTGTCTCCTCGTCTCTAGCCTGGTGCCTTAATCACTACACCAAACTAGCTCTTTTTATTGGGTATACATTGATCATCATGATGACTATTTCAATCAAGTTAATATCACTTCCCAGCAGCCATACACATTCTTCTAATATTGTTTTACTAATTTAATGCTTTGTGCTTACTTCTTCCAGTCTCTACTCTAAGCATATATTTGCTGCAAAGAAAATACAACAGTTTTGTACCCAAAATAAAAAAGATCATACATATTCTAAGCCTGCTAAGTAAAAACATAATGAAATAAATCATGGATCCTATTATAAAGTCTATTATATATATATAAATCTTCATTCTAACATCTTTAATTTCTAATTGCACAGCTTTCCAGTAATAATGTTGAGAATGTGTGTTATGTCAACAGTTTTAACAGTTATTCCCCATTGCAACCGACACTTATGCATTCATTACTGATGGGGTGTGAACATGGTGTGCCTGTTGATTACCCATTTCATTAGTAACTGAAGGGAAAAGGATGATACTAATTATAATTCAAGGCAATTACAGCAACACTTCATAGATTCCTTCAATTGACAGAGACAACTTGTACAATGGTCAAATCTTGATTCGTTACTACCTACAATTATTGCAGTCTGTTCTAATATGCAATTTGTTGCTTTTAGAAAGCAAAGACACAGTGGAATATTAAAATAGCAGAGTGATTGCTGATATGCAACAGTTCCTAATTAATTTTAATTGGCTGGGTTAGACATGTGAGGCCATTGCCTTTGGCTGAGATGCTTTTGCAGATTCCATGTCTACTCTAAAGCTCTGCAATTCCCAATAATTATCTTAACCTAGTATAATCAAACTTAATACTATTTAACATCTTTTTATTTTTTATTATTTACAAGGCTAAATACAGAATCAAGAAAAAATACAATACAAAAACAAAAAACAAAAAAGTGTATAAAACAAAATATCAGACACACACAAAAAATGTTTTCCCTGAACATTGATAAATATATTTCAGAATTATTCCCCCATCCTTGCAACACAAGTCCACAAATTATAAACTTCTACATCTATATTTGCAAAATTGCTATGTAACATTAACTGTAGAAATCTATTATCAATCAACCAATCTGACCCCCCATCTATCTACTATGTTTATAAAATAACCGTTAACAGGAAATCCCAACCATGAAACTAAACCTCAAAGCGCTTTGGTAACAATCTATTGTTGTATTTAACTTGCAGAAAGTCCACAAGCAGCTTCTGTTCTCTCACAGAGACAACCATTACTAGTATCTCTGATCCATCCAGGATCAAATACCATTGATTGGTTCTTGATAATAAAAACAGTTCCCAGGTTTTCATCTTTACTTTTCTGTAAAATTATGAGTGGAATCTTTCCAAATAACTGCTTCTCATTCTCTAACAAAGAAGATACCTGTTGATAATATATCCATAACACTTGTTGTTCAACAAATCTTCCCACAAATTGTATCTTGACACCAATTCTCTGATTGTATGTGATGTCTGCATTCCTCAGCTCCATCAACTTTTCTGAGAAAGTATAGAGTTCATCAATGCCCCCTTCAACCTCCTCTAACAAATCTCCAATTTTCAAATAAAGCTTCTTCTCTTTCAAATCTATTAACAGCAGATTAACTTCCAGTCCATCCAATTGTAAAGCTGATTTACCTACTATTTTCTGTGTCTGGGTGTCTTCTTTAGTTTGATTTCTGATTGTTACAGATTCATCAAACCTTTTATCCAGTTTTTCATTTAAAACTTATAAATTAGTAAACATTTTCCCCAAAAGTTTCTGAGAAAACTTTAACATTAAAGTCATCTGAGTCCCATCTCCCATTTATACCTCTTATGGGAGATATTATAGAGGATATATAATATATAATATTAAAACTCCTTAATTTATTGTTACTTTGGTCTTGTAATCAAGTTTTCACGGCAAGATATAAGTCATTCCTTTCAAGGATGTTCCATAACAAAGGAAGCATAAAGAACCAGAGCTAAAAATTCTCATAACAGAGTAGATGGGAAAAAAATTAAAACGAAGCAACAGAGTTATTTTAGGAAAAACTAAAAAAAACCCCTATTCATTAAAATAAAAATCCAGCATAGATCAGATCAAGTCACTTTCACTGTAAAGAAAAACAAAAGCCCTCATGTCACCAACTTCCTTGAGGTGAAAGAGAATTCTAAAGCACTAAAATAGAAAAATAAAAGTTTACAATTATGGGATGTAATGCAAATCAGCATCCCGTCAGACTACCTACAACTAACCTATAGTTAGTCTTGTTTAAATCTGGGGTGCACACTGCCACTGAATCAGCTTTGGCAGCAAATCAGCTGCTTGTTGGCAGGAAGAAGAAAAAAACACCCTGCCTTCAGCATACCATTTTTTTTTTTGAGATTCTGATACTGTTTAACCTCCAACTTAGAGGGAGTTATCCAGGTGCTACCATGTGCTGAGAAATTATTAAAGAAATCTATACTAAATTAAATATGTATGCCATTTTGAACAAATAAGCAAAGGTATCAATGCTGTTTGGCAAATCCATTTCTGGAAAATGTGTGTGAAAGAATAGGGTATCTAATTTTCAGTGATAACCTAGAACTTAATAGACCCACAGCTTCCATTTATGTATATTACATTCTCAGATAATATTGCATACATGATTTGTGGGATGCTTATTAATAAGCATTTGTGGGATGCTTATTAAATGGAGAAAATTTCTTTTATGAATCTTTATTGTTATTTTATTGTATAAATATAATATTATAGCTTCAAAATAAATTATACTAATGCTTGAAGAGGAACTATATCTCTGCTTATTTTGTTAAGTGGTTGGTGAATGAAATGGAATTTTTGGTACCTTTGTGGAAGTTTTTTTTTAAAAAAAAGCTATTTGAAAACTGAGCAACTAATGTTTAGCAACCCTCTCTCTAACTGAGATATAGAGAAGGATTGATGTTACCCACAGTTCTGAATAGTCTGAGAAATTATTTTGAAAAATAAGAAATCACCTTAGAAATTATGAAAAATTATCCTGCAAGTGCCTTAGGAACCATAATTATGCACTTCCAATTCTCTTTCTGTAGTAGAACATGCTTTGTTTAAATTAATCATAGCCTATCCTAATTATTGATCTAGAGTTGTCACTGATTCAAAAATGCTGCAGATAAAAGTAACTTTTCAAAACAGATTTCATACCTCAATTCCACATTGTCTCAGCTTGGAAGATAAACTATCATCTGCCACAAATGACACGCTTCTGAATTTCTACTGCAAAAGCTTCCATAACCGACACTGACTATTTAAATCCTGTTTAGGGGAGGTGAAAAAGAGAAGTACAATATGAGAGGTGAAACTGGCTAGGCCAGGAGCAGAGTCTGACACCAAACTATAGGCTTATTAAAATGTTCAGTCTCAGCATCAAAAGCTGAGTAATAGATGGAACAACTCTGTTATTACATAAGAATAGAAGAAAAATACACACACATACACCCTAATAATTGACATATAAACATGACTAGATTTTTAGATACTACATTAAATGATGTTATGCCAGTTTCTTCCCTTTGTAGAAAAATCTGTTTCTCTATCTGAGCATCAACCTTGAATCTTCCATTGCTCAGCTCATCATGAGTGTTCATCTGCATTCTTAAAGATTTCATACTGTTTGAATTTGTATTCATTTGCATTTATTCAGGGCCCATTCATTATTTACCTCTTACTGTTTTACTACATATTTTTCTTAAATAACTCATTCCCATTCAACTTTCTTTTTATATTTTGTCCTGACATACCCAAATCACTTTTCTATATAACAAAATGAGAAGAACCTGCTGTTATATGTAGACATATTACTCTTTTTTTAGAAATATTCATTTCACAGAATAGTCCACACACTATTAACTACCTTGCAATAATCATTTATACCATTTTTACTTTTTAATATTCTCTTCTCTATAAATGTTTTACCAAGATGTAGATTATATATATGTATGTATATGTATGTATATATATATGTGTGTGTGTGTGTGTGTCTTTGGTTATTCGGGTTTTCTCCCGCGTAAAATTGGAAGTTTCTTGGTGACGTTTCGACGAAGTCCCATTCATCATCTTCAGGCTGGTGTTTTTAGCTTCGTGCTTCGAGCAGCACGGAGCTGAAATCACCAGCCTGAAGATGACGAATGGGACTTCGTTGAAACGTCGCCAAGACACTTCCAATTTTATGCGGGAGAAAACCCGAATAACCAAAGACCTACATACAAACACCAGTGAAAACCTCAGAACACACACACACACACACACACGTGTGTGTGTGTGTGTGTGTGTGTGTATTACATATGATGATTTATAGGTAATTTGCAGTCTTTTCCTCCATTTTTTCCAGTTACCTTGGGTTTTGATGCATTAACTTTTGAATCAATACTCTTCATTGTATCATACAGTCTATCTAAGATTTGTTGAAAATAATTCATTTGTCAGTCAACAAAACAGCATTTCCTGCATTAACACATTAGTTCATATCTCCGATTGTTAATCAACACACCTCTAATATTATCAACATTCCTTATACATTTATTCATAAGTATAATAAATAACCAAAAGAATGTCAAAGATCTTTGTCTTACGTACTCTGTGTCCAGTAGGAGAAGCAGAAAAAGAACTTGGATTCTGATTTAATTAACCATATTGCTCTCAGAGTTCCCTATTCCAATGTTTGTTTGTGTTTGTGCATCTGGGGAAAAGAAAAGCTTTCTAGGATTACCTTTAGTTTTTTTGCATGACCTCAAATAACTTTACAATAATTTTGTAGCAGTTAAATAGAGTTGACACCTACAATTTTTGGCAAAATTAATTGGTTTATCATCAGCTAAAAGGCACATTGAATGAAAGGCAAGCTTACAAAATAGTTAACTTTATGACATCATTTGAAATTTTCTGCCCTGAATCTTTCAGAACTAATTGTATGTTGTTAAATACGAATCATTTGAGACATGAGGAAGGCATGCTGGACTTCAACTTTTGTAATTCTCAGTCAGTATATCCAAAAGCAAAACTATGTCTGCTCCATTTAACTTCAGACCACATGAGAAAATTAATCAAACACAGAATAATTTATAGCATTATAATAAATCTCTTTCACTAGAAAATTATTCTTAAAACAATACCATAGTTGGAAGAGATCTTGGAGGTCTTGTAGTCCAACCCGCTGCTCAAGCAGGACCCTATACCATTTCAGACAAATGGTCGTCCAATCTCTTCTTAAAAATCTCCAGTGTTGGAGCATTCAGAATTTCTGGAGGCAATTCATTCCGCTGATTAATTGTTCTAAGTGTTCGGAAATTTCTCCTTACATTTAGGTTGGTTCTCTCCTTGAATAGTTTCCATCTATTGCTTCTTGTCCTGTCTTTAAGTGCTCTGGAAAATAAGCTGACCCTCAACTATTGGAACAGTGCTATCATATGACCCTCTTGTCTTTCTCTTCAGTAGACTAGACAAACCCAATTCTGGCAACTGTTCTTCACATGCTTTAGCCTCCAGTCCCCTAATCATATTTGTTCTTCTTCTCTGCACTCTTTCTAGAGTCTCAACACCTTTTTGAGAAAAAGGAAGAGAACCCTTCTTTTGACATACATAATTTACTAAATGTAGGTATTTACTTTTTAAAAAATGGTGGGTTCAGTTAAGAAAGTCCTTCTCAAGTGGGCTAAGATAGACAAAAATGTTTATCTTCTTAAGCAATAAAAATAGTGAGATTCTCTTCACATTCAGGGGAGCAGAATGAATCCCCGGTCTCGCCCTTTTGCCTTGCTCTTTGCACAAAGGTCAAACATCTATTATGGAAAATTGCTCATTGTGAACAATTGTTCTTGTATATCTCTGTTTTAATTAAACTATACATTTAACCTTTGTAGACACAATTTGAGTTTGTGAAGTACATTCTTAAATTTGTCTGGGGATCTATATCTGTTAAGGATTTATCTGAGCAGTATTTGGTGTTTAAATTATTTTCTAAAGCAGAAAGCTCAAATAAAAGTTTGCTTGAGCCAATTAAAATTAATAATACCAAAAAAGTCCAAAATTAGATAATCAAGAATCATCATCCTAGATGCAAGCAAATCATTAAATATATATATAAATCAAGGCTTATAAAATAATAGCTGAATTGATTTATCTAAACTACACAGTTATTAGAGATAAGTGAACTTCCTATTCAAAATGGTTCATGTGGCTCTAGCATGAATTCTTCTTTTATATCTTTTGCCATGTAATATTAATGTAATAGTTTGTATTTCACATTTGAAAGACATTTATGAGCAGGTAATCTGAGATAATGCTCTCTTCTCTCCAAAACTATAAAGTATTCTTGTGTCAAACATCTTTATCAAAGTATGTGTTCCTGAGGTAGATTCATTTAGCAAAATTGTACATCCTTATCTGAATTATCTGTGCAGTATCTTTTTTAAATAAATTTCCCCTCACTTTCCAGACATCTGTTTAGCCAAGAATCAAATAAGTTATTTATGATCTAACACTCCTCATTTTATGGTTCCACCTGGTTCTGAGTTTCACTAATAAGGTGTCATGAAGTAACAGGGTCATAGTTAGGTTAAGTAATGTGGAATGCTTTCTACCAAAAGACCTGTCAGCTTTTTTTCTCCAGCTCCTTTTGTAGATAGGATTAGCCTGTATAACAAAATGCTTTTTCTTGAAGTTTTTCTGTATTTGATTTTCTCAGATGCTTTTCCAAATTAAATCATGCAGATGGTGCTTCTTCTGTCACACCAAATTATCCATGGAAGATCTCCACATGATTGAAAATCCTGATTGTACATAATTTGCTTGCATAGAATCCTCTACAAATAGAAGAGACTCTTCAGTGTATATGAAAGTTGATGAGATAGTGAGCAAACAGGAAGGGCAAAGTGGAGTTCAAGAGGAGGAAGAGACAAAGAAGGGAAGAAATTGGCCAAAGAAGCATTTGCTCTGTGGATTGTGTGTTTAGCTGTGAAGGACCACAAAGCATAACTGAACAATGAATTATAATGCAGAATATCCTGTATTATAACTTATACAGCTACTAGCTAGCCATTGTTGATGACTGAGTAATGTTTCTTGCTGAATAAATAGAGTTTAATGTGGAAGTTTAAAGGGTGGTGTCCTAATACATTTTCCTTCTGTGGGAAATGTTCATATTTAGTTAACCTGATAGCCCAAAGAGGAAATGTGAAAAAAGAACCTTTCATTGAAGGTGCTTTAAGAAACAAAACTGAAGATAAATTCTGTAATCATGAACTGCAACACTTGTGGCATTTTGTGCTCCTGTCTGAAAACAACTTGACATATATTTGCAGCATATATATATTACAAGCTTGTAGCAATCTTTGAGGAAAAATCTGGAGGAGTAGAACACTGAATTTTCATATCAGACAGAGGTGGCTGGCCTTGCACTAGAGAAAATAAAATAAAACAAGTGATGGGAATGAAAACCAAAATCAAAAGAAGATGATGTCTTGAACTGTGGGAATTTTGAAATGTTTTTCAGAAATGGCAAAGAAAAGAAGTGCTCCAGAACAGGAGACAGGACAGTCAATTCCTGAAGGCCTGACAGCTGTAACATTCACTGAGTGGGGAGACAAGAGGGGTCAGAATGGTGAAAGAAGTTACACTGTACCCCCTCTCTTTCACATATGCACTGCAATGTCACACAGATGTACAAAAGGGCTGGCCTATGCATCACAATCTGCAACACTGATTTCACTCTGATAAAATCAGCAGGCTCTTGTAGATGCTCAGTGAAGATATGAAAAACCAGAAACATACAGGAAGTGGAAAGAAGAATTGACTTCTAAGGAAGTCTGCAATACTGTAGACATGCTATCAGAAAAAGCTAGGATTAAGTATGAATTAAAGCTGAGAAAAGATACCAAGATGAAGAAAACTGGTTCCTTCACTTGAAATATAAGGTAGAGAACACTGTCCCTCTGTCAGCTGCTCTGTGAAGATAGCAAAATGTTACCAGACAACAACAGCAGCCAGAGCAGCAACAACAACACAGTTTACTTTTTTGGCTCAATCTTCTCTACAAAGAGGATATGTGCTTCATTAGCAGTTGTGAAGAACAAAAGATGAAGGGGGAGTATTGAAGCCAGACATTACTAGAAGCAGAGTCAGGGAATGTTTACTTACATTAAGTGAGTTAGATCTTGAGGATCAGATTATTGCATTTTGAGATGTTCTTCCTGGTAATCAATAGAGACTCAATCTCTATCCATTATCATGTCTTGGAAAACTTGTTATGTATCAGAAGGTCGGTGAAGGGAATTTCAGGAAATGAGAATCTGGCCTTATAAGAAGGCAGTTTGGCTACACTTTAGAAGGATTGGCAGCAGCATACAGCAGCTATTGACTTCTTATTTTTTCATGAGTGAAACTGACTGTCCTCTGGATCTAACTGAAGTGTTATTCTTATTACTCATTGCATGGAACACTATGAAAGACATTTGGAATTCCATGAATTGATGAAACCAATGAACATTCTTGAAAAAGAAGAGTTGCCATGGTGATGGGTGATTCCCTACTGAAAAGAACGGAGGTGGCTGTGCATAAACCTGATACAATGTCATGGCCATGTCATGGCATCTAGGTTGTAATTACAGAAAATATTCCAATCCACCAACAACTATTATTTTCTCTTTTCTCTCGATTCATGGAGAACAAAAAAACATGATTAAAAAAAAAGACTTTGAAAGATTCTCCAGAGACTAGAAAGCCTGTGCAAAAAAATGGGAGCACAAACAGCTTTTTCATAAATTCTTCCAGAGAATGGGAAATAAATGTTCTTTTAACTCTCAGAAAATTAAGTGAGTTTTTGGGTTGCTTGCTCCTGTCTCTCATCAGCTTGTCAGCTTTGCTAATTTTATAGACTCAGAAACTTGCCAGATGTTCTCCTTTTTGTTGTCTTTAGTTCTGCTCTTCTCTCTTTAGAATCTTCAACCACTGGATTAAATGAGCAGCTGCAACCCTCTTTCTAGCAGCATTTGTTTTTTGTTTTTTCACAATTTAAACTTTTCTGCAATCTCTCACACAAATATACTACAATGCCTTCTCTTTTGATATCTAGCACTTTCACACCCTCGGACAAATCTCAGCTTTCACTTGTCCAAACAGCCACTGAAAATCTCTTAAAGACACTGTGTCTCTATTTAAACCTTCTCTGCTCCATCTCTCACCTTTCTAGAAAGACAAGGAGATGATATGCAGTTTAGAGAGTTTACATGCAAGAGATGAGATCCCTGACATATGTGTTGGGCCGTCCTGTCACAGAAAAGTAAATTGATAGAATGTAGGCCAGATGCAAGTGACTTGATATCCCGAAGAAGAAAGATGTCCAGGAAGATAGTATATCCTATGAAATGAGGTACTGAAAACTCAGTCACAAACAGTTCTATCTGTTTCTATGACTAGTACGATTCAGCAAGGAATATATAATGGTGGTTCCTTATCAATAGACATATCTTAACTTGCTGTGGACTTGAAAGATTTTGGGACCTTTTTTGAGTGAAGGAGCTTCTGGACCCAGACCAACCAGGTAAAAAAAAAGAGGGAGGAGGGGAGGCATAGAATAATAATTTTCGGAAGTCTGCTTCTGAAATTTATTAGACTTTTTTATATATATATAACTAGGCTGCCAGCTGCGACACTCGCTACCATGGAAACAGGCATCACTGGCAACAGGGCAGATTGTCCTAAACTAATCTATTTTATAAAAGTATGGTTCCTATTTTATAGAATAAGCTGAAGACTTGATTTTTGAGCATAAGATCCTCATTTGCTGTGACTACCTCAATGGCTGGGATGTTAAATTTTAAAATATGTGTCACTGATCTTTATGTGTCTACCTCGTCACCCAACACAATATTTTTGCCTTGCACTTATTTATCCTTTTAGTTATTGGCCAGTAATCCTATGGATGAAGTGGAAATAGAATATTTGTCTCCTTTAGTTTTCACTGATTTAATAGTCAACCAGTGAAAAATATACTGCCCTTTCAGGCCCATTTACAATAAAATAATAATATCTATATTATAAATAACCTTATAAGAAGCAACAACAACAAAAAAAACCACAGAAACTTTGTATGCATTCAGAATGCCTAGGTTTAAATCAATGCTTTAAACTTAGAATCTAAAATAAGTATGGAACAGGTCCCTTATAAAGTGTATCCCAAATCTAAAGCCATATAAATAAAATACCCAACACTCTGTAGTTTCCCTGTGTACTTCTGGTAAGGAAAACATTTGGAGAATAGATGCAGCAAAATAACATGGAATATGGGCAGTCTAGTAATAGGGAAGGCAACCTTTGTTCATTTAGTTTCCAAGTGACTTAGGTCTTGACTTTATTCTGTAGATAGAAATATGACATTATACTATTCTGGAACTCATTCACATACTTTATATGAACCAACTACAGGTCCCCTGAGGCTGATTTGATTAAATTCTGGTTCATTCTATGGTATAGAGGGGGAAAAAACACCATGAGAAAAGTTCTGCAGCATGAACCCTACAGCTAGGGTTACTAGTCCTCAGTTTCTTGGTGGTCTCAATCTACTGCTAAAATCAAAGTTCCATGATAATTAGTCACAATTTCTCCATGCTTTAAAACAAAGTAAGAGCCATTTGTCCAAAATCCTGCTTGAGCAGGGGGTTGGACTAGAACACCTCCAAGGTCCCTTCTAACTCTGTTATTGTGTCCTCACTGCCTATTTTACAAACAGCAAAGATAGTAAGGCAATGACATAGATGGTAGCAAACCTGAGTTAGGGAAAGCTGGAGAATTACACCAGCAATAGCAGTAAAGCAATTTGCAGTGTTCTATGAAAATGTGTCTGAGGCTTTGGGAGCTATGTGGAAGTGCCTTAGAGAATACTAGAGGCTGTAATGAGTTTAACTAGACTTAGATTCCCACTGATTAGCTGACTATAGGCATAAAACAAAAACCTATATGGATCAAGTGAATAGTGTAGCTCAACACAATTAGGAAAAAGGAAATATCTCAACTCCTGGTGAAATTTTATACAGACACAGTTTCCAAACACAACAGGCCTTTTGCAATAGAAGACATTTACCACCCGCATTTAGGATATCCTCTTCTTTATTTTTCTGGTATTTATTGCTTTTTTTCTTTATCATCAACATAATTTAGCCAGTCTTACATATTATAGCTTTAGTGAAACTAAGCTAGCCATGAATTACAGGACAACTTAAGATGGGCAGGAAAAGAGAAAAGAACTTCCAGTTCACATAAACTCATCTTCTATAGTTTGCAGCTTAATTTTAAAAACAATTTGCAAATGTATTTTGCCCCTAGGTGGAGAGGGGGAATGACAAGTTTCTGTGAGGAGGGGGGCAATGAATGTGTCTATAATGCAAGGATTGGAACAGCCAGTGATACACCGAAAATAACTTTGACAATCTCCCTCAGGTCTGAGGACCTCAGCTCCTCCCCCCCCCCAACAAAAGGAGAAAATCCATCTTGGCATTTGGAATGTTATTATTGTAAAACTACTCTTGTAGACTCACTGGATGTCTTGCTTGTGTGATATATTTGACTCATACCCTTCTTTTCTCCTGTACTAAAGGCAGCCACCAAATTTGAAAAACAAGCATAGGACATTTTAGTTATTTATTTAGAACATTTATATAGCTACCCATTTTTCAATCAACTCTGGGCATTTAACATAAACCAGTGGTGGCGAACCTATGGCACGGGTGCCAGAGGCGGCACTTAGAGCCCTCTCTGTGGGCACGTGCACCGTCGCCCCAGTCCTAGGCCTTCAGCTAGGTTTTATAAAACCTTTTCACTTTAGGCCTTTGCTGCTGTGTGCAAAAAAAAAAAAAAGGTTCAGTCAATCAGTCAATTTCAACTTCTGGTGGGGAAAAAAAGATCTCTCAAAGTTGGAATTGATTGATTGAACTTTTTAGTCCCACCCAATCTGCCGTTACTACCGCAGCCACGCCCACCCAATGGGCCACACCCACCCAATTGGCCACACTCACTCAATGGGCCACACCCACCTGGCACACCATGATGCATAAGTTGGTTTAGAGTTGCAATTTGGGCACTCGGTCTCTAAAGGTTTTGGCATCACTGACATAAACTGTTGAAATATAGATAAGAATATTAAAATTATTCAAAAAATCCTGGGGCAAAAGATATCTTTAGTGATTTTCTAAATGGTGAGGACCAATTGCAAATCCTTAGTGGCACATCACATTATATGGGGGTGTCACATAAGAAGCCTTCTTGACTATCCACCAACCCAATACTAGAAAAATTGCCTTCTGACTGCAGGTCTACCTCTAACAGAGCTTTTGTGAATGTGTAGGTCAGAAACTCTTACATCTACAGCTGGCCAGCTGACATCAACTTACATACCAACCAGCATCTTGATTTGAATACACATTTCTCAAATAGAGGTAGTCTCAATCATGTACACAAAGGGCAGATTGCCCCCAGCTATCGTATTACCCTTAACTAGAATCTATTTAAAAACAAATCAGAATTTGAAGAGGAAACCAAGGAAGAAGTTGTGGATCAAGGCTATGACAAGCAGATATTTTGTCTCCTCAAATGGCCACTGATTAAAGCTTGGACCACTTGGGAATCTGCTCTTACATAATTCTAGGAACCGAGATGCCTTGAGTTCTTGCCCCAACCCTCTCATTGCTTTTACTCTGCCCTTCATAACTGCCGCTATGTCCCTTGCCAGAATCTAGCCTCTCATTATCTGAGTCAAGTCACAGTCACATCTGCTCAAGCTCACTGTCTCCTGAAGCTGCCACAGGTACCTGATTCATTACTGGCTCTGGAGGCTAACAGCTTGCCCGGTCTACTTCTTCAGCCTCTGATTCTGATTTTACCCTCCAACGTTGCCAGTGAAAGCACTAATGGAAATTTGAAAGAAATTCTCAAGCACTATGGAAGATTTTAAAAATGAAGCTTAGTTGACAGGAGAAGGAAACAGACATTTCCAGGTATAGCCTTATGAATTGTTGGGTATGTTTAGTTTAATGAAGAGAAGGACGAGGGGGAACATGATAGCAGTGTTCCAATATCTCAGGGGCTTCCACAAAGAAGAGGGAGTCAAGCTATTTTCCAAAGCGCCTGAAGGCAGGACAAGAAGCAATGGATGGAAACTAACCAAAGAGAGAAGCAACCTAGAATTAAGGAGAAACTTCCTGACAGTTAGAACAATTAACCAGTGGAACAACCTGCTTCCAGAGGTGGTGAATGCTCCAACACTGGAAGTTTTTAAGAAGAGACTGGATGGCCATTTTCTGAAATAGTATAGGGTTTCCTGCCTGAGCAGGGGGTTGGACCAGATGATCTCCAATGTCCCTTCCAACTTTTTTATTATTATTATTATTATTATT